CTTACATGTGCATGTACATGTATAAGTTACTAATGTGCTGAAAAGTATTGTAATTTTTTGTGGTTTTCATGTTGCCTTCATTTGCTTACTTTTTTGCTTCAATAATGTCATTTACATTTTTTGACAGTTACACATGTACATGTAAATATCAAGTTATAAATGCAGTGTACATGTACATGTATATGCACAAATTACATTGTTTCCCTCCTCTCTCCCTCTCTCTCCCTCTAACCATCAGCTCACCTAGACTCCTAGTATCATGCCTTCATGCATGGAACCTTGACAACTCACTGGACAAGTTAGTATTAGATTGGTACTAATAATCAATGTTTTGAAGAATGATATTATGAATAATGATAATGATGTATTGTTGTATTGTTGGCATTGTTACTGGGGCCATACATGTATCATCTGTCTTTCTTACTGTTGGAACTTAAGTATTGGCAGTAGTTGAATTTGGCAATTTGCAATTGGTGGATTTTACATATGTACATGTACAGTATACATGTATTGGTGTCATTTGGTGATTTTGCAGCCAAATCCCATTGAGCACGCTCAGAATAAAAGAAAACGACAGATTTTATATGGTGGATGTTCACTGCAACCAATATTAATTCCCCATTAATGTACTATAGTATTTAAGCGGAATACTATTAATGAGGGTTGAGGTCTAAGACCGTGAAGAGAGGATGAGTGTTTAAAGAGAAAGAGAGATTCACTAGGAACTGTGAGAATGGATTTAATGACTGCCGAAGTCAGACTATATATCTTTTAGCAAAAGCAACTGCTTATATGCACATTATAATTGAATAAGTTGCGTGGGTGTCTGCAGGTGTTAACTAATGTTGATATGTACATTGATTGATGTTGTATGAGGACTTGTAAATGTATGCAGAAGTACGTGTGTATAGTCCAGAAATTAATAAGTAAAATAATTAAATTATAAACACTACAGTACAATTTATATGGTATCATCTTTTTTATGTCAATTGATATAAAATGATCACGAAATATTGAAATGACGCATACATGTATGTACTTTTGTGTATGTATCGCTTTATTTTCTAAATTTGTGTTGTTTTTAATTTTTATTATAATGTTATTTTTTATTATTAATATTTTTACATGTTGCATACATACACTGTATTGATGTCGTTATGCTGTGTAGCAAGTTTGAGGTCATTCCGACTTGATTTTTTAAAGTTACAGCCATTTTAAGAAAAAGCCAAAATTTTGATAAATACCCAAGGCCGTAGCTCATAGTTTTTTCCATAAAATAGCTCCAAATTACCCCAAATTTTTATTACATTTTCTGATACATATTGATGTCCTTATGCTGTCTAGCAAGTTTGAGCTGATTCTGACTGGAATTTTTCAAGTTACGGCCATTTAAAAAAATGCCAAAATTTTGATAAATACCCAAGGCTATAGCCCATGGTTTGTCCAGAAAATGGTTCCAAAATCAGCCCAAATTTTTATTACATTTTTGATACATATTGATATCCTTATGCTGTGTAAAAAATTTGACTCGATTCCGACTTCAATTTTTTATGTTACAGCCATTTTAAGAAAAAAACTAAAATTTTGAAAAATATCTAAAGATATAGTTCATGTTTTTTCCGAAAAATGGCTAAAATTTCACTCCTAATTTTTATTACATTTTCTGATACATGTTGATGTCCCTATGCTGTGTAGAAAGTTTAAGCTGATTCCAATTTCAACTTTTTGTGTTACCCTCATTTTAAGAAATACCAAAATTTGAAAAAGTACCCAAGACTATTTATAGCCTATGGTTTTTCCCAAAAAATGGCTCTGAAATCACGCCAAACTTTTATTACATTTACTGATACATATTGATGTCGTTATGCTGTGTAGAAAGTTTGAGCTGATTGATTCCGATTTAACTTTTTCAAGTTACGGCCATCTTAAAAAACAACAAAATTCTGAAAAATACCCAAGGTTATAGCCCATGGTTTTTTCAAATAAATGGCTTCAAAATCACCCTGAATTTTTATTACATTTTCTGATAAATATTGATGTCCTATAAGTTTGAGGTGATTTTGACTTGAATTTTTTGAGTTACGGCCATTTTAAGAAAAAGCCAAAATTTTGATAAGTACCCAAGGCTTAATATAGCCTGTGGTTTTGTCCAAAAAATTGCTCCAAAATGACTCCAATTTTTTATTACATTTTCTATTACACATTGATGTCCTTATGTTGTGTAGAAAGTTTTAGCTGCATGATTCTGACTTTAGTTTATTTAAGTTACGGCCATTTTAAGAAAACGGCAAAATTCTGAAAAATACCCAAGGCTATAGCCCATGGTTTTTTCCAAATAATGGCTCCAAAATCACCTCAAATTTTTTATTACATTTTCCTATACATATTAATGTCCTTATTCTGTGTAGAAAGTTTTAGCTGATTCTGACTTTACTTTTTCAAGTTACGGCCATTTTTAAGAAAATGCCATTTTTCTGAAAAATACGCAAGGCCATATTATAGCCCATGGTTTTGTCCAAAAAATTGCTCCAAAATCACTTCAATTTTTTTACGACATTTTCCGATACATATTAATGTCCTTATGCTGTGTAGCAAGTTTGAGGTGATTCCGACTTGAATTTTTCAAGTTATGGCCATTTTAAGAAAACGGCAAAATTCTGAAAAATACCCAAGGCTATAGCCCATGGTTTTTTCCAAAAAATGGCTCCGAAATCACCTCAAATTTTTATTACGTTGTCTGATACACATTGATGTCCTTATGCTGTCTAGCAAGTTTGAGCTTATTCTGACTG